ACTAATTATATATTTATAAAACCTATATCTTAAAATTCTAAATCCTAAAAACTGTTTTGATACCTAAAACCCTCTAAACACTCAAAACTAAACCCTAATAGAATATAATTAACCCAAACATAAATAATATAAAGAAAAAATAATTTTGAAAAAGTGGTATTTTTGTAAATATTTCAAAAGTGTGGCATTTTTGTAAAATGGCACTTGAAAAGTGGCATTTTTTGAAATTTCTCAACATAATATAAACGCTATATTTGCAGTTAGGTATAAAGGACACAATCATATTAGTAAAATAATTTAAGGTTTTTCATTTTAAATTTGACTTCTAGTTTTATGTGATTGTTTAACAATAAGAGAAGTTATATAACCTAATATATTATATTATAAACTACAATGGAATTTTGAGATAAACTAATAACTTTTCGATCTAAAATTGATTTATCGGCATAATCAATTTTTATAAATTAATAAAATATTATACTCCTCACCGTTAGCCAATATCTTTATTTTCATTTCATTCTCTAAATGTCATGTATAGAACATTCTTTAAGAAAACAAAGATATACCGTCAATTGTTAAGATAGTTCGGGCATTTGCTTATATAACTTTGGTGATATGTGCTAAACAGCGATCATTGCATATACCAATGATTCTATTTGCTTCGTTTGAGACTACTAAGCAAGGAGACACATTAGAGATCTGTTTATAAGAAAATCAAAAAGATTCAATACACAAATCTACATGATCAAAACATTCACTTAGCAAACCATAATCCATTGTTCTAACAAGAAAGAAAGATAAGAACTTTGATTTAGTCATGCTTCTTCAACCCAAACTTCCCACTTGGGATTCGACTGAGAAAACCAGAATCAATCTTCTTGTAGTGACTATGAAACTTCACGAGCAGAGAATCAACAAAACCATCAACTTCGTCTTCATATCTCTCATATAGAACCGGCATTGTGTGGGCTCCCACAAAACCTTCACCAGACAAAACAAATTCATCCCCTTAAAAAGCCTTATAAACTCAATTCCCAATCTTTAAAAAGAGTCGCTAATAAGAACTAACTACTCACCAATATACAAAACAGTAAGGAAATTGCAACAGCTCCCGATAATCGCAGCTACCCATAGTCCGATTGCAGCCTGAAAATGATGTTTATGTAGGTTAGACTAATGTTCAATAACACAAAGTGCTAATACATTATGCAGATGTTATTCATACATTAATGCAAGATCAATATGCGTCTCAAAGAAGATAAAACAAGATTGGTTTGGCAGGTTATTGAATGATTCTCTTCTTGTTATGTAACAAGAAAATGTAGAAAGTGAAATGGAAGCAAAAGATACGCACCATGAGGAATTGTTTCAAATTCCCTCTACAAGCCACGTCCTGAAGATACAACAAACCGCGGTTAACCTCTCTTCCAATGGTCACACCGACATCCGCAAAGAAATCCTTTGGAAGAACAAGGCGAGGCACTCTAGACTGTGAACTGTTTTGAGACATTAAAAAAATGACTTTGTTAGATCGCAATCACAAAGGAACCAACAAAACAACAAAGAGTTGAAACCAAAATTACCGGTTTAGAAACCCCGAGGCATTACACCAAACGAATTGAGCGATCATACCAAGCAAGAGACCATAACATACAAGAGAAAGGAAATGGAAATTGATCCACTCAAAAAGCACCCAAATTGCGGTAGCTCCCATCAGAACACTTG